CCACCCCACGCTGTGTTATCTCTGACTCCAGCATCGGCAGTCCTTACTGTCTGTATTTTTATACCTGTCCAGATATCTTTTAAATATTACAACTGTACCTGCATCTACTACTTCCTCTGGTAATTCATTTCACATATGAACTACCCTCTGTGTGAAAACATTGCCCCTCAAGTTCCTTTTAAATCTTTCTCTTCTCACCTTAAAAATATGCCCTGTAGTTTTGAACTCTCCGACCCTAGGGAAAAGACCTTTTCTATTCACCTGATCTATACCCCTCACGATTTTATAAACCTCTATAGAGGATCACCCCATAACCTCCTAAGCTTGAGTGAAAAAAAATCCCAGCCTACCCAGCCTCTCTTTATAACTCAAACCCTCCAGTTCCAGTAACATTCTTGTAAATCTTTTCTGCTGACCCTCTCCAGTTTACTAATATCCTTCTTATAGCAGACCCCGGAACTGTACACAGTACTCCATAAGTGGCCTCACCAATGTCCTGTATAACTGTAACTTGCATCCAACTCCTATACTCAATTGTCTGAGCTATGACAGCAAGCATGTCAAACGCCTTCTTTACCATCCTGTCTCCTGTGATGCAATTTTCAAAGAACAATGTACCTGAACCTCTCTGTTTGACAACTCTCCCCAGGGCCCTACCATTCATAATATAAATCCTGCCCTTGTTCATCTTACCAAAATGCATTACCTCGCATTTATCCAAATTAAACACCATCAGTCACTTCTCAGCCCATTGGCAGAATTGATCAAGATCCCTTTGTAATCTGAGATAACACCAATATTTGGTGTCATCCACAAACGTACTAACCATGCTTCCTAAATTCTCATTCAAATCATTTATATAAATGGCAAACAAAAGTGGACCCAGCGCTGATCCCTGTGGAACACCACTGTGCTCAGGATTCCAGTTCGACAAATAACCCTCTACTGCCATCTTCTGTTTCCTACTGTCAAGCCAATTTTGTATCCATTTAGCATGCTCTCCATGAATCCCATGTGATCTAACTTTACTAACTAGTCTACCATGTGGAGCCTTGTCAAATTTGATGTAGACAATATCTACCGCTCTGCCCTCATCTATTTTCTTGGTCTCGTCCTCAAAAAATACTCAAGTGAGTTTGAGAGACATGATTTCCCATGCACAAAGCCATGGTGACTATCCTTAATCAGTCCTTGTCTCTCCAAATGCATGTAAATCTTTCAGAAACCCCTCCAACAACTTACCCACCACTGATGTCAGATTCACCAGTCTATAGTTCCCAGGCTTCCCCTTGCAGACTTTGTTAAATAAAGGCACAACATCTTCGAGTCCTCCAGCGCTTCACTTGCGGCTGTAGATGATACAAATATCTTTGTTAGGGGCCCAGCAATTTCTTCCCTAGCTTCCCAAAACATCCTTGGATACACTTGATCAGGCTCCGGAGAGTCATTCACCTTTGTTTTTTAAAATGTCCAGCACATTCTTTTCTGTAATGTGGACTGTTTTCAAGATATAACTATTTATACCCCCAAGCTCCTTAGCTTCCCTGTCTTTCTCCACAGTAAATACTGATGCAAAATATTCATTTAGTATCACTCACATCTCCTGGGGTTCCACTTATAGATGACTTTGTTGATCTTTAAGAAGCCCTATTCTCTCCATGGTTGCTCTTTTGATCTTAATGTAATTGTAGATTTTATTTTAGAATCTCCTAAAACACTATCTGCCAAGGCCCTCCTGATTTCACTCTTAAGAATGTCCCTGTTCCCCTTATACTCTTCAGAAGATTCACTTGATCTCGGTTGCCTACACCTGACATATGCCCCCTTCTTATTCCTGACCAGAGCCTCAATTTCTTTATTCATCCATTGTTCTCTATTCCTACTAGCCTTATCCTTCAATCCAGCAGAACAGTGTCTATTCTTCTGACTATAGTATCCCTGGTTACAACTACATTTCTCTTTTCTCCCTACTCTTGGATGGCACCCTATACCACTGCTGTGGTCAGTTTGCCCAACCTTCCTACAACCTCACGCTAATCTACACAAGAGCAAGAATCTTAGACCTGTTAGACAAGCCCAAACACTGAGGCTCCTTCAGCACTACCTCCTGAAACCCTTTACCAGCCTTACTTGTAGTCATACCCTCCTATTCCTGATCACTGACCAAATTTGTAGTTGTTAATCTAAGGGATGTGACTGCCTTCTGAAGTACAGTGTCCAGGTAACTCTTCCTTTCTTCGATGTGTCACAGTGTTTGAAGCTGAGCCAACTATGAGCCAGAGTTCGTCAAGCAACCAACACTTGCTACAGATGTGGTCGCTATGACCAAAATAGGGTCCACCAGCTCCCACATCATTTGGCCTGGCATTTCTATTCTTAATACTTAGTCCTTAATTTGATTTTTAGAAAGTTCCAACTAATCTGTAATTATTTCCCCTATTTACCTAAAATCTGAAAGTAACTTATAATAGATAGTCAGATTGGTAGCTATCACTAACCAATGAACTTAGTTTTTCTGTGAAGTCATTCTTTTGTTCTTGGACCCTGATCCTGCACTTCAATTATGCTGTTAAAAAACCTTACAAACTATGAGCCGAGAAAAGCAAGCAAAAGCGCCTCTTTCCCCTCTGCACTGAATTCCCGTGTTGCCACCAAATTCCCTGAACTGTATACTCAGTCAAGCTGTGACTCACTGTGGATGGGATCTCTCTGTCCTGACCGTGCGAAGCTTACTAGTATAGTAGATTAGGGTGGCAGAGGGTAAAAAAAACAGTGAATATATGCCAGTGAGTGCAAAATCAGTAGTAGGGAAACAATTGGAAAAAGTTCTGAGGAGCAGAATTTATCTCTCCTTCGAGAGAAAAGTATTAGGAATATTCAGTGTGGCTTTGTCAAGGAGAGATCATGTCTAACAGGGTTGATTGCAATCTTTCACTGTAAAGACTGATGCAGAATATCTAACTCCTCTACTTTTTCTTGTTCTCCAAAAGCTTCTCCCTAGATTCATTTTCTAAGGGGCCTATGTTCACTTTGACCTCTGTTCCTTTCCATATGTTTTAAAGAAGCAGCTGTCAGTTTTTATAATCCTCACTAGTTTGCCCTTTGTAGTTTTATTTTCATTTCGTTATTACCTATTTAGTTCTCTTTTGGATTCTGAATTTACCTGAGTCTTCAGGGCTATCACTGACTTTTGCCTCCTTCTTATGTTTTTTCTTTAAACTCCTTAACTTCCTTGGTTAGCCACGGTGAGTTTATCCCTCTCAGAATCTTTCCTCCTTATTGGGATATATTTTTGTTGAGAGCCATGAATTATCTCCTTACATGTCCGCCACCGCTTGCTTACTGTCATTTCTGCTCATCCATCTGTCCAGACAGCCTGGGAAAGGGACTGAAGGCAGTCAGTAGTGGTGAATGGTTGTTTATCAGACTGCAAGAAGGGATATAGTGGTGTCTTCAGGGATGGATGCTAAGACCACTGATCTTTTTGGTTACTATTATAATGTAAATCTGGGTATAAAAAAAGTAAATCAAAGTTCACAAATGATAAAATGTAGAAAGTAGTAAGGCTGGAGATAGACTGCTGAAATGAGGAGACTTGTGGCAGATGAATGAAATGCAGAGATGTGTGAAAATATACATTTTAGTAGGAAGAACAAGGGGATGCAACATACCACAAAAGGGTCCAATTTTAGCAAGTGCAGAAGTAATGAGACCTGGGGCTGTTCTTACACAAATACTTAAATGTGATAGAACAAGTTAAGAAGACTGTTACAGTGTAACAGGATCCTTGACTTTATAAATAGAGGCAGTTAAAACAAGAAAGTTATGTAGAACTCTTTACAGGCTTCAGCTTGAGTATTGTGTTCAATTCAGGACGCCATACTTTGAGGGCGGTGAAGTTAATCACAAGGATGCAAATAAGATTAACTTGAGTGATACCTTGAGTGGTGCCGTCCTCGATAGTGTAGTGGTTAGTATCCCCGCCTGTCATGTGGGAGACTGGAGTTCAATTCCCCGCCGGGGAGATTCTAGATGTTCAGGACACTTGTGGCACCATGGTAGTGTTGCTGCCTCTGAGCCAGGAGGCCCCAGGTTCAATTCCCAGAGGTGTCTAATAACATCTCTGAACAGTTGTTTAGAAATATGCAATGCTTGAACCAATGTCCGTGTAAACAGTAACCCACTTTTAGGGGCGGCACGGTGGCTCAGTGGTTAGCACTGCTGTATCGCAGCCCCAGGCACCTGGGTTCAGTTCCATCCTCTGGCGACTGTCTGTGTGGAGTTTGCACATTCTCCCCATGTCTGCGTGGGTTTCCTCCAAGTGCTCCAGTTTCCTCCCACAGTGCAACGATGTGTAGGTTAGATGGATTGGCCGTGCTAAATTGCCCGTAGTGTTCAGGGATGTGTAGCTTAGGTGGGTTATAGGAGGATGGGTCTGGGTGGGATGCTCTGATGGTTGGTGTGGACTTGTTGGGCCGAAGGGCCTGTTTCCACACTGTAGGGATTCTATGATAAGGAACTGTGGTTGAGTGTCAGTTATGGAGAATCTGCACTTGTTCTTTAGCAAGGGGAGATTTGATAGAGGCTTTCAAAATCATGAAGGATTTTAATTGAGTAAGTAACAAGGAACAATTGCTTGTGGCAGAGGGTTGGTAACTTGAGCTCATTTAAGCTCATTGATAAAAAGAACCAAACACAACATGAAGAAAATATAATACTGGTATGGCAGATTGTTCTGATCGAGAATGCACTACCTGGAAAGAAAGTGCATACCCATTCAAAAGTAACTTTTTCCAAAGGAAATGTTGTTAAGTACTCTGAGGAAAGTTCTCCGGGCGATGGAGAAACAGCAGGGGATTGGGAGAACTTGATCAAAGAGCCAGCACGGGCACAGAGGATTTAAGGATCTCCTCCTGTACTATATCATGCTCTGCTTAATAGATGATAAGAACAGTTGTTGATTATGATATTGTAGTTTTAAAATATATTAATCTTCCAAGGTGCCGAAAGAAAGCTGACCACTGAAACACCAACGGAAAAGAAACAAAGAAAGCAAAAAATCAAAAGCCCTCATATCACAGCAGAAGATTATAAATTGTGGAACAACTGTAAGTGTAAAATTTGGGACCAATTAACTGACACAATGGAACGAGGATAGTTATTCTTTTATGAAGTGGCAAGTTCTAATTTTATTAAAGAACCTGATAAATCACAATATTAGATGTAAAAATAAGAGCAAAAGAATGCAACAGGACCCCTTAAACTTGCTTCTCCGTTCACTAAGATTATGGTTAATCTTCAGTCACTAATCTAGTTTCTTGCATGATTCCTGTGGAGCCCAAAAATTGTGCTGATCTCAGGTTTGAATATTCTCAATGATTAACATCTACAGCTGTCTAAGGTAAAAATTTCAAACATTGCTGATTCATTAAGTGAAAGCCATGTACTCGAGTTCTAGACTGGCCAGAAAGGGCAAGTAGTGTCTATCAAGCTCCTTGAAAATCTTATCTTTCAATGAGATCATTCATTGTTTGAAACTCCATAGAATGTATGCCAAGTTTACTTTACATGTCCTCATAGGACAAATCCTCTGACTCTTGGAATCAATGTACCAAAGAGCTGTTGCATCTCCTCCCAAGGTAAGAATTTCATTTTCTTAGATATGGACATCAAAACTGTGTACCTAGGGCTCCATGTGGTCACAGCAAAGCCCTCTTTGTTCATGCATTTCAAAAATTGTAAAACTGGTGAATGACATATGTTGTTCTGATTCATCTTGTATGTCTGAAAAAAGTGTTACAGTACATTCATTTCCAAGAATTTATGGTTTTTTACTTTAGTCCATAGGGGATAACAAGCTATTTTCTTTTCATATGCATAAGCAGAAATAATAGGTTAACGGGAATGAGAAAACTTTTAAAAATGAACATCATTAGAGGACAAGAACTAAAAAAAATTAATGGGCTCAAAAACCAACAAATTCCTTGGGTATAATACCTACAGTGTCAGCATACAAATAGGCCCCTTGGCTCACTATGTCACCAACAAACACCAAACCACACTGATCCCATTTACCTGCTCTTGGTCCTTAGCTAATATGCCCAGGCATTTTAAGTGCTAATCCAAATGCTTCTTAAATGTTGCAAGAGTAGTTGCCTCCAGCACCCTCTCGGGCAGCACCTTCCATACTTTTAGCATCTTCTGGGTGAAAATTATTTTTTTATGATCTCCTCTAAGTCACATACCCTTCACTTCAAACTTGTGCCCTCTGGTCTTAAACACATCTGCCATGGGGAAAAGATTCTCACGAACTACCCTGTCTGTGCCTCGTAATTTTGCATACCTCAATCAGATCCGTTTCCCCCTGTCCCTTCCTCCTCTGCTCTGAGGAAAACAAACCCAGCCTATCAGTCTCCCCTCATAACTGAGACTTTTCATCCCAGGCAACATCCTGGTGAATCTCTTCTGCACTCTCTCCAGTACATTCATGTCCTTCTGATAGGGTGGCGACCAGACTGAGACCATTATTCTCACTATCAACAACACCATCAATTTTTGTGTCATCTGCAAACTTGCCAATTATATCTTCCACATTCATAATCACATCTAAGTCATTAACGAACATAACAAACTGCAAGGATCCCTGCACTGATCCCTGTGGTACACAACTGGCCAAAGGCTTCCAAACACAATATACAAACATTTCTGCACTATCAGCATCCTATTTGCAAGCCAGCTTGGATTTAGTTTGCCAACTTGTCTGAGTTCCCATGATCCTTTACTTTTTGGATCAGCCTTCCATGTGGGACCTTACTGAAACTCATGTAACGAACATCAACTGCACTACTCAATATATTTAATCACCTTTTCAAAAACTCAAGTAGATTAATTAGACAGAACCTCCTTCGGACAAATCCATGCTGACTATGCCTGATCAATCCTTGCCTTTCCAAATGTTGAGTAATCCTGTTCTGCAGAGGTTTTTCCAATTTCCCTACCACTGACATCGGACTAGTTGGTCTGTAATTACCTGTCCTAACCTCGCTGCCCTCCTTGAGTAAAGGAACTACATTAGCTATCCTGCAGTCATCCAGCACTTCACCTGTGGTCAGCCAACTATTAAATATCTCCTCCAAGCCTGAGAAATCTTCTCTCTTGCCTCCCATGGCAGCCTGAAATGAATCTCATCAGGCTCTGGGGATTTATGCATCTTTATGCCTACTGAAATATCTAATATCTGCTCCTTATTAATCTTAACATGTTCTACAAGCCCACAATCCCAACTGAAATGTCTTAGCTACAATGTCTTTCTCCTCTGAATACAAATGAGAAATATTCATGGAAGACCTCAACTACATCCTTTGGTCTTTAATGGGCCCCACTCTTTCTGTAGTAATCCTTTTACTCTTACTATACTTATAAGCTGCCTTGGGGTTTTCCATGATTCTATCTGCCGGGTATTTTGTGGCCCTGCTTTGTCTTCCTAATTTTTATTTTTCAGCATACTTCTACACTCTGTGTACTTTTGAAGAGCCTCCCCTTTTTTTATGTTCTCTATTTAACATACTCTTTCTCCTTTTTCTTTATTAAACTCTTACTATCCCTTGATATCCAGGGTTCCCTGGATTTAGAGCATAGAGCCATAGAATAATACAGCATGGAAACAGGCCCTTTGGCCCAAACTGGTCCATGCTGACCATGGTGCCCACTCAGCTAGTTCCAATTGCCTGCATTTGGTCCATATCCCTCTAAACCCTTCCCATCCATGTACTTATCCAAATGTTTTTCAAATGTTGCTATTGTACCTGCCTCAGCACTACTCTCCGGGTGAAGAAGTTGCCCCTCAGGTTCTTCTTAATTTTTTTCCTCCCTCACCTTAAACCTATGCCGTCTAGTTTTCAATTCCCCATCCCTGGGGAAAAGACTATATGCATTCATCCCATCTATGCCCGAAATGATTTTATACACCTTAATAAAGTCACCCCTCATTCTCCTACGTTTCAAGGAATAATGTCCTCTACTGGCCAACCTTTTCCTATAACTCAGGCCTACTAATCCTGGCAACATCCTTGTAAATCTTCTTTGCACACTTTCCAGTTTAACTATGCCTTTCCTATAATAGGGTGACCAAAACTGTACACAATATTCCAAATGCGGCCTCACCAATGACTTATATAACTTTAACATAACGTCCCAACTCCTGTACTCAATGCTTTGACTGATGAAGGCCAGCTTGCTAAATGCCTTCTTCACCAACCTGTCCACCTGTGACACTGCTTTCAACGAACTAGTATTTGTACTCCTAGGTCCCTCTGTTCCACAACAGTCCTCAGGACCTTTTCATTTACTGTATAAGTCCTACCTTGGTTTGACTTTCCAAAGTGCAACGCCTCACACTTATCTGTATTGAATTGCATTTGCCAATCCTCAGCCCACTTGCCCATCCGATCAAGATCCCTCTGTAATTTTTGATAATCTTCCTCGCTATCAACGATACCTCCTAATTTTGAATCATCCGCAAACTTACCAATCATGCCTTGTATATCATTTATGTAACTAGCAAATAATAAAGATCCCAGCACCGATCCCCTGTGGCACACCACTAGTCAAAGGCCTTCAGCCCAAGAAACCATCACCCTGTGCTTCCTACCGTTGAGCCAAATTTAAATCTGATTAGCTAGCTCTCCCTAGATCCCATGCAACCTAATCTTCATGACTAGCTTGCCATGTGGGACCTTGTCAAAGGCCTTACTAAAGTCAATATGGACGACATCCATGCCCGACCCTTATCTATCCTGTTAGTTACCTCTTTGAAAAACTGTAAAAGATTTGTCGGACTTGCCGCCCTTGCCCTTCACTTTTACAGGAAGATACTAACCTTGAATTTTCACTGTATTACTTTTAAAAGACTTCCACTTCCAAGTGTAGACTTAACTTCAAGTAGCTGCTCCCAGTCTGTTATCCAGATATGTTTGTCTAACGATGGTGAAATTGATCTTCTCCCAAATTAGACACCTAACCTGCACCATCCTTATCCCTTTTCATAATGACTTTGAAATGTACACATTTATGGTCACTATCCCCAAAACGCTTGCTCACTGAAACTTGAACCAAATAAATAGCTTTATTCCTTAGGATTAAGTCTAGCACTGCTGTATCTCTAGTGGGACTATCTGCTTACTGGCACTGAAAGCTCTCCTCGATGGGTTTTAAAAATTCCGCCCGGTCTAATCCTTTCAGAGGAAGGTGGTCCGGTTAATGTTAGCAAAGTTGAAATCTCCTACAACAGTAAGCCTGTTTTCTTGTACCCTCCTGTGATTTGACCACATACTTGCTCCTCTTTCCCCTTCTGATTATTGAGAGAGCTGTACTTTAATCCCAGCAAAGTAATCACCCCTTTTTTTTCAGGTTTCTAAAAGACTCTTTTAGCACATCCTCTCTCATTACCACAGTGATGTTAACCGTATATCCTGGGTTTCTAAAAGAGGTGACTACAGAGATATTGGATGCATTGCCTATTTTTTTCCCTTTATTTACGAGATGAGGAAGTCACTTTCAGGCAGTATTTATTGCCGAGAGGGCAGTTGAGAGTCAATCACATTGCTGTGGGTCTGGAGTCACATGTAGGCCAGACCAGGTGTGGATGGCAACTTCCTTCTCTAAAGGACATTAGTGAACCAGACAAATTTTTCCGACAATCAACAATGGATTCATGGTTCTCGCTAGATTCTTAATTCCAGGTACTTATTGAATTCAAATTCCACCATCTGCTGTGGCGGGATTCAATCCCAGAACATTATCTTGGCCTCCGGATTAACAGTCCGGCTATAGTACCACTAGGCCATTGCCTCCCTGCTTGTGATCTTTTAAAATTCATTATGTTCCACAATGGTCCCAGCAGCTTGGAAATTAGCAAATTAACACCACTATTTAGGAAAGGATTTATAACACACTATTTATAACTCACCGAATCTATACATCTCTGAACACTACGGGGTAATTTAGCATGGCCAATCCACCTAGCCTACACATCTTTAGACCTGGAGGAAACCCACGCAGACGTGGAGAATTTGCAAACTCCATACAGACGGTCGCCCGAGGGTAGAAT